AATTGATTCTCTTGAATCAAAACACTTGCATTTCTGTTTAAAATTTATAATATGTAAAAATCTTATCTGTGTATCAGTATGGTTGGTTAATTTCAAAACATTCCCGGAATTTGCAAAACTGGAATAGCGGAAGCATTGTTGAATTTTCTTGGAGAACGTCACTTTTCTGTGTTTGAAATTCGAAAATTACACATTTCCCATCAATTTGGACTTTTTATAATATTTTTAATTTTTTTATGTTTTGAACATTTTGACAGATCCGCACTGTAAAAACGCGAGGAGGTGGAAGAGCTAGATAATTCTTCGTTTTTATATGCTTTTGATACAAAATTCAAAAACTGCTGTAAGCTTCTGTGTTCCAAATATAATCAATTATCTTGTAAAGCTGAAAATTGGCCGTGTATCTTCAGAGAAAAGACAACTTCTGTCTATTACATTTATATTTTTGTGATATTATTCAACGTCAACTGTTTTTCTATAAACAACCCCTGAGCTGGGACCCTGTAACGAATAGAGATATTTTCTCTATCTCTATTGACGTCCTCTCTCTATTGATTTCGAAAAGAGAGAACAAGACAGCAAGTACTGTACATAATTATTGTTCACGCTACATAATTTCGACAATCTCATTTTGGCTTCAAAAACACAAGATGAAAAGGCTAGAAAAAATTTTCCTCCCTAACTTTTTTTGGGCTTCTGGTAGAAAGTTTCAAAAATAAGGTACACATTTTGACTTCAAAAACGCAAAGATTGGAAAAAAAGTAGAAAGACACTTACCTTTTCACTTTTTTTGGTGTTCTTGGTACTTTGGTCTGCAAAAACTAGAAAAATTTGCTTGTTGACTCTTCACTTTTTGGTGATTGTGGGTAAAAATTTCTAGAGTTAGTATGTATATACACATTTTCGAAAAATTTTACAGCAGAAAACGTGAATAGGTGAAAAATCTAGAAAAAATTGTTTACCGATAAAAAATCCAAAAATAATAGTGACGTAAACTTCAATTTTCTCAGTCCTAGAAGCTGTAAAACACTCGTAACTCATCGTTTTAATCCATTTATTTCAACTGATTATCAAACACAAATTTAAAAATTTCAAATTGACTCGCTACAAAAAGGTCTCGTTTGAACTCTGAGAAAGTTTTCTAGTTTGTTATGTCTAGATCTAAATAACCATTTTAGTGTTTAGGACATCATAAAAATCTCTAAACCGATTTATTGCCTTACAGTGTTCTACACTTAAAACAGATGATGGAAACGGTTTTAAAAACTATAAAAAGAAGGGGCTTGGGCTTCGCAGGCGAACGCAGCCAGAAATTTCCTGAGACGTTTTTACGTTTTATGTACCGTAAATAAGTCGTAAATGTTTTGAATATATTAGTGATTATTACTAGTGACACACGCGTTCATAATCTTTTTAGAAGGGATAGGTAAGTTTCATCATTGTCGAAATGTCCTTTGGAAAATCAGATATTAACACAAATTATATACAAAATAAGTTTTTAAATATTACTATTCTAATCGCAATTTTGGATTGTTATACGAGTTGCTCAGGAATTGTGAATGTACCCAAGTGCAGTAAATGATGGAGTGGATAGGTTCTACAAACAGCTGTATGAATGCTTAGGCTTATCCATTCCTGAATATGAAATAAAAGAGAACAGACGCACTCATAGGTATCCTACTTGGTACTCCACGGACTTGGTTCGTAGAGTCAGGGGGAAAAATCATTTGCACACTCTGATTATGAAAGGCATAGGCGGTGTTTCAGAGCGAAACAAATTTGAAACTTTGAGGAGGGAAATTTAGATTCAAACCAAGAAAGAGTATCTTGAACACAAAAAAAGGGTTGAAGAAAGTTTGAAGCTTGATCCAAACACTTTCTGGTCTTTTGTGCGTGGTAAGTCGGTCCATGGTGGAATACCACGGGAAATGGTGCTTGACAATGACAGGTTCGCTCGCTGACTCTATGGGTATAGCAAATGCTTTTGTACAGTATTTACAATCTGTTTTTGCTGAAGGTAACAATTAAATTTCCAATTGCCAAACCCAAGCTGACCACACAATTTTTACCTTTTCCTACATTTCGGATCATGACATTCTTGACAGTATCAAATCTTTAAAATCAAAAAGATCAACTGGGCCTGATGGCATACCATTCTATATTTACAAGGGATACGCCGAATTTTTCTTATATCCATTAAAATTCATATTTAATTTAGCATTAAAACAGGGTTGCTTTCCTGATATTCTTAAAACGGCAGTAATTTCGCCTATTTTCAAGAATGGCAACAGGGAGGATATAAGAAATTACCGGCCAATAAGCTTACTGAATAGTCTAAGTAAGATGTGTGAAAAGATTCTGTACAGTGACCTTTTGTGTCATATTTATAATAATATATCGCAACTTCAACATGGGTTCCTGGAGGACAGATCTACAGTTACCAACCTGTGTTGTTTCTCGGAATGTGTGTCTGAAGCCATCACTAATAAGAAACAACTATGGATGTTATATACACTGAATGTGCAAAGGCATTTGACAAGGTAGACCGTGGTATATTGCTAAGCAAGTTGGCTAATTTTTGCGTCTCTTCTAAAGCCTGTAGCTTTTTAAAGTCATATTTGTCACAACGCCAACAGTCTGACAAGGTTGGACATGCTTTTTCTGGTCAATTTGTTTCTACGTCGGGAGTTCTCCAAAGAATCAACTTGGGTCCCCTGCTTTTTATATCATATATTTATAAATGATCTACCTGAATGCTTAATGTCATCCTATAGTTTGTTGTATGCTGATGATTTTAAGCTTTTTAAAACGGTTTCTTGTCCAAAGGATTGTGCTGACTTGCAGTTTGATTAAGATGTGGCCATAAAATGGTTTAAAGATAACAGAATGCCAGTGAAAAGTGCTTGGTAGTCACATATACCCGGAAGGTTAATTATATTGTTGAAGATTAATTTGTGGGCGATATTAAATTGGTTAGAAAAAATGAAATTAAGGACCTAGGCGTTATTTTTCAGTATTATTAATAAAGCCTACAAATCTCTAGGCTTTGTTATACGTAACACAAACAATTTTCTTATTGAACTATTATAATCTTGTTTAATTCTCTGGTGAGACGACATTTGGAATATGCTAGTAATATTTGGAATCCAACAACTGCAATAAGCACCAATGCAATAGAAGAAATTCAAAAATGGTTCTTACGATATCTTTATGTTAAGAAAAATAATGTTCATCCATACATGGTCTCATACATACCTACATATGGTTAGCTTATCTATTCGAAGGAAAACACAGGCTATCATGTTCATTTATTATGTTTTAAACCATCTGAAATACAAGAGCTGTGATCTTACTAAATATATTCGATTGACTGTGACAAAAATACATTTAAGGATATCAAATAGAGAACTATTTTATGTTGACAAATCTAGTCGTTCACCAATAAACCATATGCTTTCAGTGTGTATATAACGAGGTGCTGATAAGCAATGCAAATCTGGATATTTTCAATGTTAGCATCATTCAGCTAAGAAAACTTTTAGTCTGTAGAAATTATGTTCATCTTTTTACTGTCATTGCTTTTGCTTTTATTATTTATTAGTTTTATGCCCTAGCCATCATATCTGTTTATTGTCTATGTTAACTCTTTTATTTTTCTATGTTATCTGTCCGATTTTATCTTATTTTATTTTGTTTTATTTTATATTTTGTTTTGTTTTTTGGACTAATTTTTATATTGAGACCTATCGTTGTTATTGAGCCTTTGGCTATCTGCGAACCTTTGCATGTAATTACCTACCTCAGATATTTGTTAAGTAAATCAAGTAAAATAAATAAATAAATGATTATACATGTTTTATGATTCTTATGTATACTGTTCCAAAAAAAAAAATATAGTTTTTTAAATTGCTTGTAGAATAACAATTCCTTTTCGTTACGCCACTGCGTGTACAAACAGCTTAAAGATAATCAAAAACTCATAAAAATCACAAACGCCCGACTTTAATCAAGTTTAATTTCTTTTTAAAAACGAGTACGTCGCTTATAGTGAGCCATAAAATCGTGATGGATATTTTCCCAAAACGAATGAAAAATGTACGTTTAAATTTTAATAGGAAAAAGATCGTAAAAACGGCATAAAAAAGATGGTAATAAAATTATAGTAAACGCCAGAAAATAACAGTTGCTTAGTTAAATTCAGATTGAAATATGTATGTATATAGAAAAAAACACTTGCTTTTATAGAGTCTGTTTCGACACATTAAAAACTATCCCATGAGCGGTTTCGAAACCACTCTGTTCACGAATTTCCGTTTCTATACATAAATTTTAGGTTTTGCGCAGAATCGTGGCGGTAAATTGTAAGGTTTTCTTGCTATGTTGGAACAACGCTATTTTGTATTGAAATGTACATCATAAATATAAGTACCCACCTAACTCACGGGTGTAAATACACTATCTCAAGATGTACTGAAAAATACAAATTAATAAAAAGACATTATTACTGTCATCAGTTCTCATACCCTTTGAAAATATTTCCTCAAAATCACACATCTCCACATTCATAGTTTATGGAGAGACTTCTCATATATCTCATAACTTTTTAGAATTCGTATCAAAGATCATAAAACTGTTTTTGGAAAAAGAAAGATAAATCCAATGTAGTTGATTAATATCATAAGATTTTATAGAATAAATTATGTTTGTATTTTTTTTTAATAATATTTAATGCGTCCAGTGTCTGAAAACATATGTAACAAAAGTTTTATGAATAAAGTAAATAACCTGATTTCCATTTATATAAGTTTTCATCAAGCATCGGTAACCATATTGATCGGAAAAAAAGTTGATATTAATAGTTTCGTTTCAAATTTGTTGGTATTGGAACATGGATTTAATATTGATTAAAAACTTTGGGCTTATGTATGACACATTTTGATGCTAGTTATACCTTTGTATCCATTTATTATTCTTTAATTTAACTTTTTTTTTCTTTCCAGGTAAGTCTATCCAAGAAACATTCAACTGCAATAACTTTCATCTGGTAAGAACATTATTTTAGAAAATTTATGTGAGTTATACGTGGATCTTCCGAGTAAACTTCTACTTCAATCTGCTTCAGTTAAATCTACTTTATTTATATTTAATAATTCAGGTCCAGTAAATAAATTGCACCGTAAAAAAACTACGTGTGTTATTTTTGAACCCAGGCCCTTAGCCAGTGTCAAAAATGAACTGCAATACTTTTAAAGGACCATCTGAGGCGATTTATTTTGAGACATTGGACCTGCAGAGTACGAATTTTTGATTCGAAGGTGTTATTTGTTTAATTTTTCAAAGACTTTTGCTTAAAATTTTCAACGAGGAAAGAGGACGTTAGTGAGTCAAATAAAATGACCGTCGTTACTAGTAGTTTGCTGTACTTTTTCGACTTCAGAGGCTTTGAAATTGCCAGACGCTGATTTTTGCAAATCGAAGAAACGGTAGAAATGTTCGTCTATCAACAATAACTTCAACACAATAATTTTGCTTCATGAAAAACCGGTTCATAGTTTTTGTTAGGGATTCAACCACAGAAGCGTTTCGGTGCAGCGTAGGCTTTATAACGAAAGCCTGAACCAGACAATCATTTTTGAGTGAAGCAGTTTTAGGTAAAGGATGGCTATGGTGCCCTCCATTGGTATATAATGGAAATACACGAGAGAAAAACCCTAAAACTTAATTTGACAACATTCACAGTACTAAATTTTCAGAATTGTACTGGTATAATATGTCAACTGGACATAGTAAATACGTTAAGTTTCCATTGTTGATGCCATCTCAATTAGGCGATTCAAACCACGTGACTTTCAAGATGGCGTGGCGGCCACACATGGGCCAAAAAACACAAAAAAATATCTAGATTCTGCCCGATTTATTAGTTTAGGTACCTAGTCAACAAATATTTTATTAAAGAATCCAAATCAAAGTTGCAAGCAAAACTCTAAGCAAAATAATTTGAAATACGCCTAAAAACACATTCAAAACAAACTTGCTTGGCCGCCACGCCATATTGAATTTTCCTATCTGACAGATGGATTAAATTGCCTAATTAGGCAATCTCAATCACGTGATTTTATAATGGCCGTTCGGGTCAAATATTGCGGTGACAAGGGTGACAAGCCGGTGACGTTCATAAGGAGAGCATTTGTGCACATTTGTGTTCTGGAATTTTATAGTCTTTGGTGTTTCTACGTATTTTTTTATTGGTTTTGGCCATTGTTGTTTTCATAGTGAATTTTATAGTCTTTAGTATTTCAACGTATTTTTCAGTGTTCTGGCCCTTGTTGTTTTCAAAGTGATATTTATAGTGTTTACAGTGTTTCTACGTATTTTTTAAATTTATTAATAAATTCTGAGATGGAGAGTGAATATTTTAAGGGAAAATCGAGCCTCTGTTAGATCCTTTCTTTTAATTGCAACAATCCATAAAGCCCTGCGTTGCCAATGATTTAAAATAGCAGGAACTGAATAAAATGTCACATTTTTCCTGTTACCTCGACTTCCACACCCAATTACGATGCAAATCGCTGGCATTTTAATTAACACAATACCTAAACACACACAAAAATACAAAATCCGATAATTCAAATCTGGACGTTTGTCCAGAATGTGACAGAATCAATGACATACAGAATAAACAACACAGTGCTTGACCCAATGCTTGACCCGAACTTCCATATTGAATTTCGTTTTTGACAGGTCAGTAGATTGCCTAATACATTCTAAAATTTCAGAACACATTTGTCCTAAAAATAAAGATTCACTCACACAAGAAGACAACGTTAAATATTCAGACTCAGCAATACCACAACATTTTGTTTTCTTGTTTTCCACTCAATTATATTATTATTAAATTTGATCAAAAATTCTGAAATGCTCTTTCTGTCATTAATATCATTAGCAAAATCTGAGTCTACATAGGCACCAGGATTAATTTTCTGACAGTTACTTTCAATAAATTTAAGTCCATAATTTATGGTTTTATTTGTCATCTAACGCTACTCTTTGTTTATATCCTCGCGCCCCCAACCGAGTTTTCTTCTTCACTTTTCACTTCGAGTCTATAGTTTCTACATTTTCTGGTGGTGATACCAAAGTCCAAGTCTTGTTTTCTTCCAAAGCTTCCAACTCTTCATTTATAGCTTCATTCCAACCTTATTCCACTGCTTCTGTGTATGTTCTAGGTACTCCTTCAAATAATTATTCTGCTGACAAAGCCGCAAAGAAGTTCACATCATCATTTAGGTCGTAATCGTGCAAACAATATGGTAAATCTGTTCTTCTGGTACTCTTTCTTGGTCCTTGTTCTTGAATTTTCGTATTTTTCCCTACTGTTTGATCATCTTCACCCATGTCAGTTTTTTTGTTAACTCTTGATCTGACTTCAGTTTCTTCATTATTCTCGCAATTTTCTATAGGCATAAATTGATTGTTTAAAACCCTCTTCTTTTCATCAAAAATTCCATTTTTTTCCAGTAACAATCTTCCGCTGATTTTCGCTCCACAACTTATAACCATTATCAGCATATCCTACCATTATTAATTTCTTTGATCTGGATTCTAATTTTGACTTTCTTGTTTTTTTTTTTTTGTAGTATACACCCAAATAACTTTCTTTTGTCCAGGTTAGGTTTCTCATAATTCCATATTTCAGCAGGTGTCTTGTTATTTCCCGATGTTCTTGCCTACGTTTTGTTAATTAGATAAGTTCCAGTTCTTACAGCTTCACCCCACATATATTTCTTCAATTTTGAATCAAAAATCAAACTCCGAGCCCTTTCCATGACTGTCGTATTAAAACGTTCTGCACTCCATTGTGCTCTGGATTAAGCTACCGTATATTGTATTCGTATAAGGTATTCTTATGATCCTCTTTTGACAAAAATCTTTAAAAGCATATGATGTGTATTCACCCCCATTGTCGCTTCTTAATTTCTCTATTCTTAAATCAAATTTAGCTTCAAGGATATAGCGACATAATTTTAAACTTTGATAACTCTTATTGCTCACCAAGAAAATTATACAAAAGTGTGAGAAATAGCCAATAAAAGAGATAAAATATGCCTTACCGTCATATTTTGTTGGTGATATTGGCCCAAAAATATCAGAAAGAAACCGTTTCCAAGATTCTATTGGCAATCTGGTTTGTTTTGACTTGACACAAGCTTCACACAAACACGGAGCTGGGTATTTTGCTGAATGTCTCATTGTTCTATTCAACAACATTTTATTTTTACTTGTCAAATTTACTGTAGACTCATATTGATTTATTTTAAAATGTACCATCGTCACCAAAAGTAACTGGGACACAAATAATGCATAATAATCTCCTTGACTAATTCTACTGTCATTCATTTCAATGCATTTAATGCATAGTTTGACAAATATTTGACAATAAAATTTATATAATAGGACAAGAGCTAATGTGATGCTGTCCCAGTTACTTTTGGTGACGATGGTACATAATATAAATTTCCTTTCAACACTCCTTCAAGTATTGTAACTCCATTTTTGGAAATTTTCAGCTTTTTATTAAAAAACATTACTTCAAAGCCATTTTCTTACATAAGTTACATACAGGGTATCCCACGAGGTTATTCCCAAATGATAACTTCGGAACGCATCGTGGTTCTCAATATTCAATCAGTGAGAAATAAGACTGACGAACTTGTTTTGTTTTTAAGCAGTATTAACTTTCCCAATATTGTAGTTTTAACTGAGCATTGGCTCAAATGTGATGAATTGTACTGTCTCGATAATTATATCACTGTTGCTAGGTTTTGCAGGTCAAGTTCAGTGCATGGTGGCACTCTAATTATGGTTAAGGAACAGACTTTGAAAACTTCAAACTTTGTAAATGTGGATTGGTTTGATTACTTGTTGGAGGAAAGATGCTTTGAGCTTTCTATGATGTATTGTAAAGAGTTGAATATGTATATTGTTGGCCTATATAGATCCCCAACTGCAAATTTCCAAATGTTTTTGAGAAAGTTGGGAATAATTTTGTCCAACATTTCAGTGAATGCCAAAATAGTGGTGTCGGGTGATTTGAATGTAGATTTTTTAGATACTTCAGGCTGTAATTTGAGAAATTTAACGAGTTTGTTCGACTCATTGGGTGGTATGAATAAAAACGAAGTACATGCTACTACTACAAGTATTAGTATATTCTTCGAAGTATCTACTTTACAAAGAAGCATTTACTAATTTCCGGTAGTTTAGAAATGTAGTATCTACTTCGTTTTGAAGTAAATACTACGTAGAACATACTAATACTTGTAGTAGTAGCAAGTACTTCGTTTTTATTCATACGACCCATTTAATATTTTAATGCATGTTGATGGCCCCACTAGAATCACTTCCATATCTTCTTCTGGTCTGGATTATTTTTGTAGCAACTTCAATTCGGTAACAGACTGCAGAGTGGTAAGTGCAGGTCTCTCAGATCATGAGGCTGTGGTTGCCACCTTGAGCTTAAAAACTAAACCTCCTGAGATGAATAAATGTAGGTACGATAGATTGTTTACTCGCAGTAATTATGCTAGATTTAGGACAATGTGCAAAAATTGTAACTGGAATGATAGCCTAGGTAATGGTGATCCACTGGAGGGCTTTCATTCAATTCTAAGCAATGTTTTTAATAGAGCGTTTCCCACTGTCCCGATAAAAAAAAATAAAAATAAAAAACCCTGGTATACCCTGGGTATAAAAAATTCAGCAAAAAATGTGAATTACTACAATAAATATAGAAGGATTTACAGATCCACACTCAAACAAGCAAAAATTCTTTACTACTCAAATCGAATCAATGATGCATCTGATAAATCAAAAGAAACATGGAAAATTGTTAACTCTCTGCGTGGTAAGCACAACCATGCACCTATATCTAGTGACCTGAAGGCTGACCAATTGAACATCTATTATTGCTGCGTAGCCTCGGAGCTTTCAAAGCACATCCTTAAAACTACACCACCAGAGCGTTTTCTGCGTCACGTTTCTGTG